GGTTGTACACACATGTGCACACGTCACAGGCAACTGCTAATGAGAGGTGAAACAGAACGATTTGAATCAGCTTCGTTGATTCCTTCGCTGGCTTCTTCAGTTGGGTAGGGCGGCACCTGTGTACCTACTATCAGATTCAGGCTGGTCCCTGCCAGGGGAGATATCAAGAAAAGACTGGGTAAAGAACCAGTATCAGCATGATATATGCTGATGGTGCAAAACTTCACTTGTTAACTCTTCCCAGATTTCGTAATCTAAAGTGGAAACCAGAGAGATGGTGTTTTTATTTACAGAGGCAGAGAAGGGGAGCCTCTTACCTCACCTCCTGGTCCTATCTGATTGCTGCTGCTGATAGAGCCAGCAGCGTTCACTTTTCCAGTTATAGTCTCCACAAAAAGGAAGTTTTCAAGGTATCCATTTTATTCACAGGTGGAGAGCTGCACGGAATAACGAAGAAAATGTGGGAGCAGCACAAACAGAGGATGCATTAAAACAAGAAGCTCTTGGGATTTGCTGCTTACCGGAGTACTTTGCACAGACATGGTTAATAAATCGTTTTTGATTGCAGTAATGTGGCTGTCACCTGTTTCCACTATCACAGTGAGACTTTCCCCATAGGAAAGCTTTTGATTTTTAGGTCGAACATGCCCTAATCCAGTAGTGCTGAATTATAGTTCCAGCAACTGCAAGTGAAAAAAACAAAAAAACAAAAAACAAAACCAGAACCCTTGAGTTCCTTCAGCTTTCCAATACAAGGCACAGTCTTCTTAAATAAAAATGGACTCAATCTCCGCTTTCTTCAGGTGCATTTGCAGCCCAGCCTTTTCTGCAATCCCATAAAACACTGTGAAATTATAGCAGGTGTTGCTGTCAGATTTATGACACAGGAATTTCCGCCCCCCAAACATTCCTATTTCATTGGCATCCACTACCCCTGTAAAGCCCTAGTGGCACATTGATTAAAGTAGTTGGTTGCTGACTGAGAGGTCAGCAGTTTGAACCCACCAGCTGCTCCGTTCAGTCAGAATTGACTGTAGATAGATGGTTTGCTTTTTGGGTTTTATTCTTGCAGCCTCTTTCTTCCTTGCACATGGGGATAAATCCAGTGCACAAGATGCCATGCTGTGAGGCTGCAGCTGGGCAGTTGCTCCCTTCTGGGACACTGCAGTTCTACCACCAAAGCCCCCAAATGCCTTTTCCATCTTCCTCCCCTAACCCCTTCCAGTCCTCACTTCCACTTTGCTTTAACTACTTACTTAGCTCATTCTCTCCTAGATCCCAAGCCACTGCACTTGACTAGCCATTAGCTGTTTTTACAGTGAACATCATCATTGGGGTGGGGGGGGGGGGCTTTGCTTTGATAGCCTCGTACTGGGGAGCAGATTGTACTATTCCATCCGAGAATGTTTGACTGGTTCAATAATTACTAACTTTTTCTGTGATAAACAGGTGCTAAGTGCTGGACTCGAATGGGGGGCAAGGTGTCCAGACCAGAATCAAGGACGAGTGGTGGACTAACTGCTTCTGAGCAGCCAGCTAGTCAGTCCCATGATGAGAAGGTGCCTCACGCTGAGGACTCACAGCTCAGGATAGCAGAACACTGGAGGGAGAGCATCAAAGTCTGAAGACTGTTCATGGTAGCATTCTGCCACTTAAAAGCAACAAAGGTGCTCTGGGCCTCTCTTTTCTGAATTGTCAGCTTTAATGCCAACGTTCTACTTAAGTATATGGAGTTACATAGCAATATATGCTATTTATCTTTTAAGCATGGAACTCAATATCAAATAGCTTCCTGGAAAGACAGGTATGCCATTTCTAACAAAAATTCCATGCTTTGGCCTCTTACCCTGAGCTGCATATTCACTTACTACAAATATCTCTTGGATATCTCCTGTGTGGTCCTCTGGCACATTAAATTCAGAATTTCTGATCATTGTCTAAAGTTTGATCACATACTAGCATTTCTTACGAATGGCAGTTTTTCTTTCAGTGGCATTAATATCCCCAGGTTGGAAGGCTCAGTGCCACATCTGACTTCTTAATTCCACATCATCAACTTCCTGTTTATATAATTGTCCTGAGGTAATTGATAATATCTTTGGTAAGGGCCCATCTTTACACTATCAAGCTGGTAGTAATCTTGGCGAGTATAAACCTGTACTTGTTGTTGTGAAGTGCCGTTGAGTCGGTTCCGACCCATAGTAACCCTGTACAGGGTTTCCGAGGGTGTAAATCTTTACGGGAGTAAAAAGCCTCATCTTTCTCCTGAGGAGCAGCTGGTAGTTTCAAACCGCTGACCTTAAGGTTCGCAGCCCAATTCGTAACCACTATGCTACCAGAGCTCCTAAGTCAGCCCAATAGCCAGCTAGTTCCATTTAGTTTCTCTAGAGAAGGTGCCACTTCCTCAGAAAATCACCCAACTTGAAGATAGCATGTTTCATTAGAAAAGCCTTTGTGTTGAGCAAAAATCTCCCTTCCCATGCTTTCCCTCAGTCTTCTTTGCTCTTTTGTTATGCAAACATTTAGTGAACTAGATGCAAGGCATGGAGGATACAATAGAGAAAACAAAACAAAAATCTTTACCTGCACAGCCTTATATTTGAGAGGGAGAAATTGACTATAAATAAATAAAAAGAATTAGTTGTACAGTCTATGAGAAAATGAGAAGTACAATGCTTGTTTTGGATTTCTTAGGTAATGCACATGATGACTGCTCTCAGGTGCTGACTGAAGGACTGGAAGTTCAAGGTCCCCCAGAGAAGCCTCAGAAGAAGCTGGTGATCTACTTCTGAAAGATCACAGCCACTGAAAACTTTATGGAGCACTCATAACACATGAGGTCGCCATGAGTCAACATTGATTGGACAGCAACCTTTGGCTTTTGGTGAATGATATTGACTACAAAGAACTACCTTGTCACATGTGATTATAAAAGACATCTCCCCTCCACTCCCAATATTCCCTAAAGCCATGAGAACTTGATTCTTCTAGCAGTTTCAGGATGATATTTTATTAGTTGTGGATTCCCTGTATAATGCAGTGATTATAGAAGGCAGGCTGACTAGAGGAATCTTAATATTCTTCATAATGTCCACTGACATCAGGTTTAAAAGCAATGTGATACCTCAATACATTTCATAAAGCAGACATTTTATAAAGCGATACTGAAATTAAGCTTCTTCCAAATTATAAGGGACTTAAGAGAGTTCAGGGTTGATCAAGGAAAAAAGATATAACCAAGACATAGCAGTGTTGCACAATATTGCACAACAAGCTATTTCTTAGGGTCATGCATTGACAGCAAGAAGTCTTCCACTCACCCCCTCAGTACACAGGATAGATAGGGATGGCAACTTGGATATTGGCTACCCAAAATGGGGGGAATACAAAGGCAAGAAGTGACTGGCTTACAAGCTTTCAAGAGGAAGCCTAGATCCAGAGGGCACAGAGGAAGGTAGAATCTCCACTGAGGTGTATCCAATCTGTCTAGACAGGACTGATAAAAGGAGATGGGGATAGTACTTATGTGGCACAATAGTGAATAATTGTTATCAGGACTGACTGTGAGGGTTGGAAATGTAAAGGTAGACATTTTGTA